CCCCCCCCCCCCCCCCCCCCCCCCCCCCCCCCCCCCCCCCCCCCCCCCCCCCCCCCCCCCCCCCCCCCCCCCCCCCCCCCCCCCCCCCCCCCCCCCCCCCCCCCCCCCCCCCCCCCCCCCCCCCCCCCCCCCCCCCCCCCCCCCCCCCCCCCCCCCCCCCCCCCCCCCCCCCCCCCCCCCCCCCCCCCCCCCCCCCCCCCCCCCCCCCCCCCCCCCCCCCCCCCCCCCCCCCCACACACACACACACACACACACCACACCACACCACACCACACACACATACACACACCACACCACACACACACACCACACCACACACACCACACCCACACACACCACACACACACACACACACACACTTGTAATCCCAGCACTAGGAAGCTGAGGCAGTAGGATCATAAATCTAGAAAACAGTTAATGCAAGACCAGTGACTACTTTCTGACCATCCACAAAGGTTCCTGATGTCTTGATTTCAGAGTTTCCTGGGAAGGAAAAGCTCTTGGAGCACCCTCACCCCTCCCTTTGGGCAGGTCCCACTGTGTCTGTTCTATCTAGAGGACATGCTAAGTGTGCTGGGAGGCAGTGTGACCCTCATGACTGGAGAGGGTGAATGGTAACAGATGGCTAGGTTTGGAAGAGGGATAAAGAAACCTCACCTTTTGGAAATTGTTGAGAGTGAGGATATTTTCTATAAAGTTTTTATTTGCTTATTTTATTTTTTTGGTTTTCTGAGACAGAGTCTTCCTCTGTAGCCCAGGCTGGCCCTTGACACAGTGCTCCTCCTGTGTCGGCCAGAGAGCTGGGAGCACAGGCATAAGCTACCACACCTGACAAAGCATCCTTGTAACTCGCTGGAGAAGGAAACACAGAGAGGCAAACATACATGGTTTTTGGTGGCACAAGGGGCTGGCAATTGAACCCAGTACCTCATACATGTGCTAGGAAAGTGCTAGTCCACTGAGCTGTAGCTCTAGTCTCCCTGCCCCAAATTAGGAAATATTCAAGGTAGAGAAGTTTATTACAATATAATTTTAGTTTAAAATAGTCCCACCTGTGCATATTAATTAAACAGATTTTACATAGTGATGCCCAGCATATGCGCCTGCATTCTTCTTTTGCACATAAAACAGGCATTTCCACTTCACTAAGATACTTCATACTTCCTTGTTTGTTTTGTGAGTTTTGAAATGGTCTCACTATGCAGCCATGAACTTACTATTCTGTCCCAGACTCTGCAATGCTGGGATTTCAGGTGTGGGCCACCACAACTGGCCTCATAATTCTTTTCAGTGCTATGCCAACAAACCGGCATCAAGAGAATCCAGCTGGCTGACAGTGGTACCTGGTGGGTCCAGGCCACAAGGAAAGCTGTGCATGCAACTCACAATTTCATGTGCCCCCTCTGGACACTTGTCACTCTCTGGAGGCCAAGCATTGCCTGATGACAGGCTGGGTATATACTGATTGCAGGCATCTCCTGGATGGATGCGGACCTTGTACCTAATATAAACCAGCATGTGGCACAGGTTGGTTTAGAGTCAAAGCATACGATCTGTGCGGGCCAGGTTTCCAACTGAGGAGCCTGTCAGAGGCATGCTGTAAAACTGATGAATGCCTGCCGCCTTTCCAAGGCTCTGGCTGATTTAGGGAGTTATTGGCAGGCACACTACTCCTAGTATGTCAGCCAGTTAATTATTTCCAACTTTATCTTTTTTGTCAGTGCTTCTTGACAAATTGGCTGTTATCTTTTTATTCTGCAACAACGAGCACTGTTCCCACCCCCCACCGTGATGCCTGGAGGTTTTTCTCCCTTTTTCTGTGTCTTCACATCCAGGGAGAAGGGAAGAGCTGGGGAGAGACTATGACAAAGACAACATGGTGGGGAGGGCTCACAGTTCAGCTTGAACCTGGTTTGATCCACTTGGATGCAAAGCACATTGGGTATTTTGGGTGCAGTGTGGTCCTGGCCTCTGTGGATGCAGTGAGAAGACAAATGGACTGGCATGGAGTGACCAGGGCTGGCTATACTCTGTTCCATCCCTTAAGACGTCAGAGGAAAGAAAACTGCCTGTCAATGTGACAAGGAAGGAGCTTCAGAGAGAGGCGACACACCTGGACATCAAGACACACAGGTAGCAAATGTCCCAAAGAACTGAGACAAATGTCATAGAGAGACAGGGGGAAGCCCATCCTCCCCTTGGAGTTCTGCCTCCATCTGATAAATCCTCCTCAGGCTTCGTGCTGAGTGCCAGATGTAGCTACCACAGTGTACAGACAAACAGACAAGGCCTGTCCTTCATGGAGCTTACAGGTTAGTGCCGTAAGCAGCTACAAAAAGGACTAATGGAAGCAAATGCCATGTAACGGGAACAATGGGAAAATAAAGCAACTGGAAAACAACGTGAGGATGGATTTCAGCCCTGGCATCAGGAGAGACTTTCCCAACGAGATGACGATGTGAAGTACTTGACATTGACTGTACCTCGATCCCGACTCACGTACTAGTCCCCGTAATTTATGCATCATCTATTTTTAAACAAATCTCCACAAGGAAGCACATTGGAAAGGACATCCCTAAGTGCACTGATAGATGGGTTCTCAGAGGAAAGACGCACTTCCGCCAGAGCAAGAAAGCACAGGGCGGTGCATTGCAGCCTCCAGATGCCTCCCACCCACCACCCTGTTCCCAGGGTCACTGTTACTGACTTGTAACACTCAGTGTATTGGTGTTTGTTGTTATTTTGTTTATTTTTGCTTTATATGCATGAGTGATTTGCCTGCAGAGACGTCTGTCACCACATGTATGTGCCTACAGAAATCACAGGAGGGCAATGGATCCTCTCACACTGGGGTTAAGGACAGCTGTGAGCCACCACAGAGATGCTGGAAATCAAACCTGGGTCCTATGCAAGAGCAACAGGTGCTGCTAACCCCAGAGCCATCTCCCCCGCCTTTGCTTGTTAATGTTTGACTGTATGTGAACACCCGACCTTGTTTTATTGGACACATCGTGCTGTTGGGATGCCATAGTAGGTTGCCCTTCCTATTGTGGAGCAGTAACTCCGCTCGCTGTGTGAGACACAACAGTTTGCCTATGTGACTGATGACAGACTGTTTTCAGTGCTTGGCTACTGGGCGTGGTCTTTCCACAAACACTCCTGAATGTGTCTTTCAGAGCACTGGTGCTTGCACAGCTATTGAGGGAATACCTAGAACTGCTAGGTCACAGGCTATGTTCAGCTCTGCAAGACATCGTGCTGGTTTCACTGTGGACAGTTCTCTCAGTCAGTCATTGTTGTGAAAACCAAACAATGTACTTTCCTGTCAGCACTCGGTGTTTCCAGCTCTTCCACTCTTCCCCTCGGGCTGGTGGCAGTGGTGTTATTACGGTTGCAATGTGAGTTTCCTCGGGCTGGTGGCAGTGGTGTGTTATCACGACTGCAATGTGAGTTTCCGTGCTGACTCAGGAGATGACGGAGCCTTGCACATCTCCTCCATCATGAACTTGGAGCCTGCTCTCATGCTCCCCCTGGTGGGGAGGTCTTTCTACCCACTGGATCTGGCATACGTAAAGAGTACACACTGCAGATATTGCTTGACTTTCTATTCCTTCTCAGTGTCTTTTTTTTGTTTGTTTGTTTTGTTTTATTTTGGAGATAGGGTTTCTCTGTGTAGCCTTGATATCCTGGAACTCACTCTGGAGACCAGGCTGGCCTCGAACTCACAGAGATCCACCTGCCTTTGCCTCCCCAGTGCTGGAATTAAAGGCATGCATCATCATGCCTGGCTTCTCAATGTCATCTACCGAAAAGAAATGACTACTTGTATTTCCTTTTCTTCAGGCTAGCCTTGAAGTTGGTATATGTGGTTTCAGTGAAAAGTTCCATGTTTTTACATGGTTCCAGACGAGCCCTTCAAATAGAATGGACAGAGGTTGTAATAACCCCGTTTCTCAGGCAAAGTCATAGTACGTACAGGAGGATTAACAAGTTGTAACCACACTGTTTGGAGAGAAGGAACCTAGACTCCTGATCCAGGATGCTTAGGTGATGGGGTCTTTTCTGTGAGTTTGAAGTTTGGGCAAAAGTTGGGCCTATCCACTGCTGCCCAGACACTGACAGTGCCAGTGACCAATCCCAGAGCCATGCCTGGCATGGCTGAGTCCTCCTGTCCGTCCTAAGCTTATGACACCTCCTTGTAAAATGTCAAGTGACCTTTTTGGAAAGAAGGTGTATAAAAAGGAAAGCAACTCACAGATACAAACTACTGATCCAGATTCAACGGGACACTGTAATACAAACACTGAATGATGGATGACCAGAAAAAGATGCATCCAGCCCAGTTAAAACTTAGCTTTGCCCACACTCATCGGAACATCCAAATAAACCAGAGCCACAACACAACAGCACAGATTGCCTTAGCAGGCGTCCCTAGCTCAGCTGTCTCAGTCCCGTCTCCTTGTCACTACCTCACCCTCAGACTGTGTTACGTAACATTCAGATGGGAGTTTGGAAACTCATCTACTCCCTGTCTGCTGATAGAGCTGAGCCAGTGGCTGGCAGGGGTATAATCTAATAGGCGCAACTGGAAACAAATTCACAGCCTCCTGTCTGAGCCCGGAGACTGTACAGACAAGGAAACAACACCCGTCCCCCTCCTCCTCTCCTCTGGCCTAAGTCTGAGCTGACTTCACTCAACAGGCACCTGACCCTCCCAGATGAGGTGGGAGGGGCTTTAGCTCACAGCCATGGTAGGGTGGAGGTACAGGCACTAACAATATTTAAGATGCTGCCTTGGTGGGGCATTCAGACTTGGGAAGGAAAGTGTTTGAAAACCTACTGAGTTCCACTTCAGAAACTCTAGCTTTGAGAAAGGCTAAGAAAAGTACAGAGGAAGGAGACCACCAGGAAGGCAGAAAACTGCCAGTGTGAGTCAAAAAGTAAGTTTTCCACATCTTCCCAGACTTTAGAGGGAGACTTCTCCAGTAGGCCTACAGACAATGATGAGGAAGACCTGGCTATGCATTATCCTTGTGGCCTTTGTCAGCCATCCCGTGTGGCTGCAGAAGCCTCCTAAGCGCAAGACACCTGCACAGCTCAAAGCAGCTGCGTGCTGTGAGGAGATGAGGGAGCTCAAAGCCCAGGTTGCCAACCTCAGCAGCCTCCTAGGTGAACTGAGCAAGAAGCAGGAGAGCGACTGGGTCAGTGTGGTCATGCAGGTGATGGAGCTGGAGAGTGGCAGCAAGCGCATGGAGTCACGCCTCGCAGTGGCCGAGAGCAAGTACTCTGAGATGAACAACCAGATCGACATCATGCAGTTACAGGCAGCACAGACCGTCACACAGACCTCGGCAGGTAAGGGCTGTCCTCTACTCCACACCCGTCCCCGCGGAGGGTTTCCTGGCCCCAGCCCTGCTTCTGGATGACCTGCTCAACAGAACAACTTGGGGGGCCTTTGGGGAGTGCATTATCGATAAAGGCTCATTTTGCATTCTTTGGGGGTTAGTGATGTCCTGCAAGTTTAGCCAGGACCTACCAGTCTCTCTTTGAGACAGTCTCACATAGCCCAGGCTGGCTTGAAATTCACTATGTAGCCTAGGCTGGCCCTGGACTCTGGGTCCTACTGCCTTAGCCTCCCAAGCACTAGAATTACAGGCATGAAACATCATGCCTGGCTCCAGTCTCTTCAGACAAATTTCAGCAGATTAGGAGTCTGAACTTTCCTTTGAAGCATGAAGTCAGCCCAAAGTCACACAAGGTTGGTGAGGCCCTGATACACTTCCAAACAGAGAGCTGGCCAACTGTAAAGGAAGCAGGCATGAACACTAGACTGTAACAGCTGCTGCTCTAGATGCAAAGCTTCACCCCATACAGTTTTGGGGTATCACCAGAGCTTAGTGTAGGTGGCTGCAAACGCCACCTAGCTCATCTCACAGGTGCAGACACAGCCTGCAGCCATTTGAAGGGAACCTTTGTGCTCAAGAGAGGACAGACACCTCAATATGCTACAGTTCCGATCTATTTTCTCCCATGTTTGGTAATAAAACTCTCTCAAATAATAAAGTAAGTAAATGTAATATTGAAATGCTGATCTTTAATGGCTGAAAATAAGGCCCATGAAATTCGTTCTTCTGAAAAACAATACTCAGTTGTTGGTTAGTTTGGCAGACAGGCCAATAGATGAATTCGCTGCTCAGAGATAAATCTAATTTTCTGAAGTTACTGGAAAACACTTCAAATGAGTATGTTCTATAGGTGAAGCATTTCTCACTGGCTACCCTTGATTCAGACAAAGAAAAAGTTTTGCCTGAAGTTAACCCTGAAAAGTCTGTTAGCTAATTAAACAAATATACAAACTGCTTTCAAAGCATGGACCTCCTGGTCCTCGGTTTGGGAACCGAGAGGTAGGTGTTCTCATTTACCAGATAAGTGAGTCTTTGTTCTGTGAGATGAAACTGGTAATGCAGAAGACCAGGCCAGCTGCAGAGCTGACTGTCCCACTTCTTGCTACTGGAGTCTCCTGGGAGGAAGGGCAGGTGTACCTCACTTCCCCTTTCCCAACACGCTCTGTGCTTTGGGAACTGCCACTTCCATCCGCGCCAGTGGGCACCAAAGAAGTCCCAAGACAGGTCAGGAAGTGTCTTCTTCAACAGCCTCAGACTCTCCTAGAAGCAGCTGCTTCTTTGAAGCCCCACTCTGCTATTCAAACAAGGAGATGAAACCTAGCACAGAGCAACAGCCTCAAGGCAGCCAAGGCAGCTTTAAAATCAAGCCCAAGGGGAAATGGGAAAGGCTCATTTCCTTGTTTTATCAAAACTTGCAGGGAACGGTCCCAATGGGCTCCTTAGGGTTCTGGCTTTCATTTGAACATCTAGCAATGTGAGACTTCAAATCTGTCTCCCTAATTAGAGTACCAGTCCATAGTAGCTATTACCTGAGAAACAACAAACCAAAGAAACCAAGAAACGGCAAGAAAGCAAACCCTCTACCCAGGACCCAGTCCCTGGTGGAGGTCCCACTCAAGCAGCCTGAAGCTACTCACAGGGCAGCTGCCAAGTGGCCTTCACAGACCACACCATTTCTAGTTTCGTGCCTGGTGCTACAGCCTATCTTACACTTAACATGGAGCTCCCTGGTTAATGTCACTTGGCACAGGGGAAGGGCTTCCCTACTCTACTGCCTCCTAACTGAGAAGCCCAAACACATTCCCTCAATCCCGATGCCCTCTTCTCCCCATGGGCACCTATGGTAGAAATAAAGTCTTGGTTTTCAGTCTGGCTCAGATCAGCAGGCATGCCCTCCCATCTTGGGACCCAAATCTCTGCTCACTCTGTTTTTCCTCACAGATGCCATCTATGACTGCTATTCCCTCTATCAGAAGAACTACCGAATCTCAGGAGTGTACAAGCTTCCTCCCGATGAGTTCCTGGGTAGCCCTGAGCTGGAGGTGAGGTCGCTACTGCCATGTCCTACCCTATGTCCTCCAGTCCTAAATGACATGGAGACATCAGGGCTTGTCTGGTCTATAAAAAGGGAAATTCAACTGGGTGTTGGTGGCGCACGCCTTTAATCCCAGCACTTGGGAGACAGAGGCAGGAGGATCTCTGTGAGTTCGAGGCCAGCCTGGTCTCCAGAGCGAGTGCCAGGATAGGCTCCAAAGCTACACAGAGAAACCCTGTCTTGAACCCCCCCCCCAAAAGGAAATTCAGAGACGCAAATGTATCACATGGTGGAGCTATGAGAATGCCCAATTTATGGCATTCCTCCTTCCAAATTCCAGCCAGCTACTTTTTTCAAATCACCAGTCAACTCACCAACACTTAATTCTCACCAACACATAACTAGTTCACATTTCCGGCAATGTCCTAGAACAACTACTCTTCAGGAGACATTAGACGGAGGCGAACTCAAGTACCTAATTCTTGTATTCAGGTTGTGCTTACCTGAAACCCCCACCCCATATGCATTACCAAGCTAACCACCA